GAAGCCCATTTCTGGTGTCCCCCGCCGTGATATTGCTGGAATATTGCTAAAAGCGGCGTAAAAACCATACTCACTCACTCACAACCTGATTAGGGGGTGGTCGGGGTAGCCGAGTGGTTAAAGCGTTCGCTCATCACGCCAAGACCTGGGTTCTATTCCCCACATGGGTACAATGTGTAAAGCCCATTTCTGGTGTAGCGTAAAACCATACCCACTCACTCATTCACTCACTCATGTCGTTTAGGGGTACAGATATGAGAGGTGCAATGGATGATTAGTTGCAGTCCAATAATAAATAATACTTCTTTTGAGTAGGATCATGGGTTATAACATGATTAGTAGTTCAGCTTTAAACACCAAACGAGTTTTAGGGGGCACGGGTGGCCCAGTCGTCTAAGGCGCCCCGATTCGCTTTGAAGAGTTGCGTCCCTTGGGCACGCAAGAAACCTATGATCGTGGGTTCGAATCCCGGTTCGCCCCGATTATGTTTCTAGGTTTGTCAGTACCATACCTGTGCTCGTGGGTTTCACCGAAGTGGTAAACATCTGAGACCTGCATCACTTCGGGCTTTCCTCCCACATTAAGCTGACACGCCGTGATATAACTGGAATACTGTTAAAAGTGGCGTTAAACCCAACTCACTCACTCACCCAAACCAGTTTTTACGAGACTTGACGTGGATGAGTTTCTGTTGTGACAGTCTGGGGTTTGTAGTTCAACTTTGTGCATCACGTATGTCATGGACTGTCACATTTGACCACGTGTCTCCTCGTACAGTTCATTGTGTAAAGGGCCAGTGGAATGAACTGATAATGGTTTGATTGTATTATGGCATTCTTGGGGCACTGTTGATTATTTTACCCCCGACTTAAAAGGGCATGTGTATTAGTTATTCCATGGAATTCTGTACTTATAAGGACATTTTGTGTGTACGACCTACAACTTGAAAACTACTAAATAGATTCTTCTCACTCTTGGTGAACACTTTTTGTACCTATAGGAGAGGTGCAGTGCGAAGTTTGATTTCAATATTTGTATTTTCTGAAAAAAATACAACTTTACTTCATTTTTTTTGCTCAGAATCTTTTTACTGAAACATTTGTGTGACCTATAACTAGAAAACTACTTCATGGATTCTTTTCTCAAATTTAGGGAACAGTTTCCATACTAATAGAAGAGGTGCATTGCAAAGTTTGTTTTCTATACTTGGATTTTATGAAAAAAACAGCTATATTTCGTTTTATTACTTAGAATATTTTTACTGAAACATTTGTGCAACCTATAACTACATCAAAGATTCTTTTCCAATTGGGGCTACAGTTTCTATACCAATAGGAGAGGTGCAGTGCAAAGTTTGATGTTGTAAGTGGATTTTTGTAGAAAATATTGCTGTTTTCTTGTTTTGAACTTAGAAATATGTTGGAGTCAAAGTTGGGGGTATTAGTGACCCAAGGTCACTGCTTGTGTTGTTTTCTAATTGGGAATGGAAACTTGAAGCACATTCAGCCACGTGAAACCCAAGTCTCGGTACCTAGTTTTGTCCTATAATTAGCAAGGGATAATATGTCCAAAAACAAATTGTCAGGCTCATTGCCAATTAAGGGATGATGTTGAATCAATAAGCCAACTCGGTTTTCATGCCGAACCGTGATTTGTTTTACATTAACGTTGAATCAAATGTGACTAAATATACTTCTATCACGCTGTAAAATAGATTGCAAATATTGCATTCTGGACTTGTAATGGTCAGACATTGTTTTGTAAATATCATTTATGCAGTTTTGTATAATCCAGTGTATTTGTTGGGGGGTCCTCTTAAAAGCCTACCCAAAATTTCACAAATACTGTATGTAAACCATTATTAATTTTACTTTAACCATTGTCATGGATCTGCCCTGACCTGGGAATCTGAGGTTATAGAGTGTCTCCCCATCAACCTATGCTGGATGTACGAGATGACTAACAGGATCAGGTGCTCAGGCTTGCTGCCTTGGTTGTTTGCATGTCATCGTGACTATGCTTGTCGTAAGAGTCGATTATGCTTGTTGTAAGAGGCCACTATGCTTGTTGTAAGAGGCGATTATGCTTGTTGTAAGAGGCGATTATGCTTGTTGTAAGAGGCGACTATGCTTGTTGTAAGAGTCGATTATGCTTGTTGTAAGAGGCGACTATGCTTGTAAGAGACGACTATGCTTGTTGTAAGAGGCGATTATGCTTGTTGTAAGAGGTGATTATGCTTGTTGTAAGAGGCTACTATGCTTGTTGTAAGAATCGATTATGCTTGTTGTAAGAGGCGACTATGCTTGTTGTAAGAGTCGATTATACTTGTTGTAAAAGACGACTAACAGGATCGGGTGGTCAGACTTGCTGCCTTGGTTGATGCATGTCATTGTATCCCAATTGCATGGATCAAAGCTCATGATGTCAATCACTGGATTGTCTTGTCCAGATTTGATTATTTAGAGACCGCTGTTATGTAGCTGGAATATTGCTGAGCGTGGCTTTTAATTAAAAATACCACACACATATGCACACACTCAAGAATGCACTCACAAAAACAAGAGAATCAGCAGCCAATATGTTGTCATGGTTTTTGGACATATCAGTATTATCATGATTATGTATATAGATACGCATTTGTGCATAGAAATAGGCCAACTGATACTAATTGTGTTGCCATGGTTACCACTTAAGGTTTCATATTTAAATGAAAATGCTGCTGGTCTTGAGAAGATCTATTCCATGTTTTCTTTGGAATGATATAATTCAGACAAATCTGCACTTTGTAGACATGGTACAATTAGCAGAAAATATTTCTTTGTCCAGAAATCTTCAAGAAGCCTTGGGCCCCGTTCCACAAAGTGATCATAGCGCCAAGACGATCGTAACTCCCATACTTTAACATGGACTTTACGTTAGTCTTAGCGCTAAGATGGCCTTGTGGAGCAGGGCCCAGATATCCTGATTTGGTCACCCGCTTGTAGGGTTAGCTATCAATACAGATCATAGAGATCGATAATTGTTAACTAAATATCAATCAATTATCAAAAATTAACTTCAAGCAAAAACAATTCCGAAAGAAATCCACATTTTACACCACTTGTGAGCAGTGACTCATGTATCATGATATAACATTTACACTAAGTTCTCCTATAATAATTAGATCCACAACAAGTGCTTTTATAAGTTACCATGGTGTAACATTTACACTAAGTTCTCCTATAATAATTAGAACCACAACAAGTGCTTTTATAAGTTATCATGGTGTAACATTTACACTAAGTTCTCCTATAATAATAAGATCCACAACAAGTGCTTTTATAAGTTATCATGGTGTAACATTTATACAACGTTTCATATAATTATAGTTTAGCAGGTAATACATATCATCAGGTAAAATGCATATACAAAATATGAGTTTCAGTCATAGTTTTTTAGATAGATGCTAGCCTAAGGTAATGAGAACACATCTCCTAGACATACTGTTCAATAAGACAAAGGTTATGTCTACGTAGTTTAATAGATTTAAAGCTTTCAGATAAATACTAGCCTAAGGTATCAAGATCCCATCTCCCAGACATAATATCCAATAAGACATAAGATATGTCTACATAGTCTTATAGATTACCTTGAACTATTTTATTTAAGTAAGTCTGTCATCACCTATATTAGAATAACATTCAGCAATTACTTCAATTTAGACTCATTAAGGATTAGCCCCCATACAAGCTCGTCAACAGTGACACCATAATCTCTTTCTAAGCACCCAGTAAATATGTCAAAAGATTAGTGCCAGTCCAACAAGATTAACAGGATTAAGTATTCACCTCTGTCTAGCCATTCATTAACCATAAGGCACACCCCATCGTGTATCCACCATCCTTTTTTATTGGTCTAAGTTTTGTTAAACACATACAGAATCAAAATGCTTATTGTCGCTCTAACCAAGCAGATCTCTCTCCCACAGCCCAGAGCATGCAGAGGGTTGTTCCGACTCTCTGTGGCACCCTCAGCTATAGTTAAGATACTGTTCATTGTTAATTGTTCTTGTAAATAAAATTGTGATTAGTCTCCAGTGACTCCGGCTCTTTGCTGACTAATTCCCCCAAGGAAACCAGCTGCCATTTGGAAGGTTTTGTTCACCAGAATAGAGCCATAGTACATTTATGGAGGGATTACTTTGTGGACATTTTATATGGAACAAAAACAGTTACTTTCCATCTTCAGCAATTGCCATTATTGACAATAACAAGTCTGTTTTGGTAAATCTAAAATTTATTTTATCACAATAGTTCATATAAGATATTATCGATGACACAATTTTCATATCGATAATCGTTAATATTTCTTCCCATCGACGATAGTTCTGATTAACAATATTTTTGCCAGCCCTACCCGCTTGTGCAAGTAAACACCTCACATGGTCTCCAAGTCACATTGTGTTTCAAGGACTAATCTCTTTGTGTCCAGTCTGCACTGGAAGAAGGCATCAGTCTGGATGTCTGCAGATTGATCCTGTGATGATTACTCGATATAGTCTCATGAGAAGGGTTCTGTTGTTCGTCTCAATATTTCATGGATGGCATCTGGTTATTCATATTAATCATGATAATGAAATGGAAAGATGAATAAAGGTTTTCTCTACCATTAATTGATCATCAGTTGGTTGATTCATTGTGATCTTCGAAGTAAAACGTCTGAGGCGAGAAGACCACACCTCGCCTTTTTCAGTAAAGTTACATCATAAGCAGGGTTAGAAAATAATTTTCTTCTGTAATAACTGTCTGTGAGAGTCTTGCCATCTACATAATGTTTTGTTTGTTTGTTGTTTATCACTGCACTCAGCAATATTCCAGCTATGGCAGTCTGTAAATATTCAAGGCCAGACTATCCAGTGATTGACATCATGAGCATTGATCTACACAATTGGGACATGACATGCATCAACAGAGTCAGCAAGTCAGTCCACCCTATGCCGTTTGTCGCCTCTTACAACAAGCATGGGTTGCAATTTAACCCAGATCTCCACGACCCACCTTCTCTCCTTCCCTCGCCCCACAGTCAACCTCCCCTCGCCCCTCTGTCACCTCCCCTCACCGCCTCCCTCCCTCGCCCGTCTGTCACCTCCCCTCACTGCCTCCCTCCCTGGCCCCCTACCTACCTACCTACCTCCCTCACCCCACGGTCAACCTCCCCTCGCCCCTCTGTCACCTCCCCTCACCGCCTCCCTCCCTCGCCCCTCTGTCACCTCCCCTCACTGCCTCCCTCCCTGGCCCCCTACCTACCTACCTACCTCCCTCACCCCACGGTCAACCTCCCCTCGCCCCTCTGTCACCTCCCCTCACCACCTCCCTCCTTCGCCCCTCTGTCACCTCCCCTCACCGCCTCCCTGTCTCGCCCCCTACCTACCTCCCTCCCTCACCCCACAGTCAACCTCCCCTCGCCCCTCTGTCACCTCCCCTCACTGCCTCCCTCCCTTGCCCCCTCACCGACTCCCTCCCTCACCCCCTCACCGCCTCTCTCCCTCACCGCCTCGCCCCCTCCCTCGTCCCCTCACCACCTCCCTCCCCCCCTCGCCCCCTCACTGCCTCATTCATTCAAAAGATGTGAAAACTGTCATCAAACAATTACAATCTGATCTTGGACGTTGTGACATGACAGCCTCAGACTCCTTCCAGTTGCAGATCCAGTAAATCTCTGAATTGCTCACCTGACCAGTGAAAGTAAATGTTTACATGACTTAGAGACAAGTTTACACTTTACCTCTTTAAACCCTGGTGTTTTGTTATTGGATGATTGATCCCATTAAATAAACATGGTGTAAAAAATAAATTTGACCGCCTTAGAAATGTTGGAGGGATTAACGTAGACATGGATTCTTTGTCTATGACTACAGGACCAAGTACATGTGTACTCACCGCCAAAAGAAACACGAACCATAGAAACATAGAGAAGTATGTACGTTAAGAGATGTTTCCAATGTGTACCAATTAATGACAAAACTAACAATCAGTCAAGTGTGACCACAGAGGGTCTTTATTCTTTTCCCGCTATGCTGCACATTATTACCTTACTTTACACACTAATCCTGCACGAGACAAATGGTGCATCTCGAGTCATGGATCTATGATGTCACATGTGATGCATTCATGAGTGTCGGTTCACTAAACATACCAGTATATTCGTTTGTGCATGAAACCAATCTAATATCTCTTGAATATGAGTAATTGTTCATATATCAACTGACATGTATGGTATTCACGTTTCTTTTGTCGGTGAGTATATAAGTTTCTGAAAAATTCAAAATCAGAAACTCATTAT